CCTAGGGCAGAATGCTCTCTTTCAATGAGACCTGCTAATGAAATTTCTCTTCTTTCTTTTTATATTTTTCCAAACACAAACCCCGGAAGAAGCACATGACGACAATACACATATCACCCCATCCCGGGCAACCCCAAACCAGCCATACTTGTTTTCGATAGCTTCAAGGAAATTCTTGCACACTATGTGATGTTTTTATTGTTTTTTTCTTCTCTTTTTCTTTTCTGCCACACTGTGCTTCTTGTTGACTACTTCTTCCACTTTTGTTTTTCTTTTTATCATCCCATTCATCCACGGTATCTTTTTCTTTTTTTTTCTCCCACGGTATCTTTTTCAAGGTCTTCATCTCTTGCATCAATGTAAACACTGCTGTTCACATTTTCTCTCCAGAGTCAAGTCACGTGAGAACTCCCACTTCTCTCCTTTAGGGCCCGTCCTTGCTGGAAGAATGCACGTACCATGGATCTGGAATCTGCATTGGTACTTGTTTTTTGAGCAGCGACAACAGGTTTGAACGGTACATTCAGCTCCTGTCATTCTTTCTTTGCATCGTAGTTCTTCCATCCCTTTGTTGCGGGTTCAAATAAATGACAGTCACTAGGATGTCTTGGAATTTAGAAGAGTCTTTTATTCGGTTATAACCAGACTGTGAGAATCTAAAAGCAACTCTTTAGATTGCAGTCCCAACTGGACATCTCAGTGAGTTTATAAAGGCAAAAACTCATCATTTATCGGGGACGTAAGCAAGCATAAGACAAACGTAGAAAGTGAAATTAATGCTAACATTTTTTAGACTTAGTGAGCGTTACAGGGCACAGGATTGATGATAACATCCTGGCTAATAAAATAAGAATAGTAGTATCCTGGTTACAACATCAAAGGGAACAATATTAATTACAACGTTCTGATCCAGGAACATAAGCGTACACTCTAAAATCAATCACCAGCGGGGATTTACGAGAAGGGAAAGGGGAAGGAGGCAGGTTCTTCAGCAGTCAACAAAATGGTGTCACTTTGGTCACTTTGCCTCATCTTTTCAGCTTCCCTTTGTGCTACCTGAGGAGGATTTAATTGGCTAAATTTAACTTATGAGTGACAGCCCTGACAAACTTCTATTGCTTTGTATCTTCTTCTTTAGACTGAACGTTTTGTCAATGATTTTCTCTTTCTTCTTCTGCTCTGCCCTTCTTCCTGCCCCACCCCTAGGTTGAGCCGGTTTCTTGGGAGGCATTTTGGAGACAGGTAGCTGGACACTGTCAGGGTCTCTGGCCACTTGGCAAGAGCATTTGATTTTAAATGCCACTCTACCACTTAATCGTGGTAAACAAGGGACTGGATTGTAGTATAAGGCTGAGGGGACCAGCCTCCCCACCACTACCCTCTGGTTCAGTATGCACAATTGTACGGTTGAGATAAAGTATTATATTAAAGTCATCGAGAGCATGAGTGATAGAAGAGATATTACATTAATGCAGTCAGACACATTACATAGTAGCTTTGCTCACCTCAGCCCCGCTTGGGTGGTCCACTGGAGAGATGGAAGGGAAGGAGGACGGGAAAGGGAACAAGGGAGAGAGGAGAGTGGCGGGGGGCGGAGGAGGAGAGAGACCAGCGAGAGAGCTCTCTATTGCTAACCCAGGCCTATATACCTTTGGGGGGCGTGCAAGCCCACTAATTACAGGAAAAGACATGCATCACAGGAAGGGGTTGCACTATAGGTTATACAGCAATGAGGGGGTGGTCTAGGGATGTACACGCAATAGGAAGAGGAGGGATTGGGGGGTGTACATGTGACAAGATGGGCAGATCCTAGATTTAGGATGGCAGCTTAATTTTGGATGTCACAGAGCTGGTTTGACCTGTTCACAGGCTCAACTAATAGAGACCATTATCAGTATCAGTAGGGTGTGAAATCCACCTAGAGGGCCTGTCCATTGTCCTTGAACAGCAGGGAGTGGGGGGGGGGCTACCCTGTCTGGGGACTAACAGCCTTCAGGGAGGATGTAAGCACCTGACCTCCCCCCACACTGGATGAGCATCTAATGCAGCTTAATCCTCCACGCTCATAATCACGGTCTGGAAAGCCGACTGGTGAGGAGGACTCTCACGGTTATAAGATATAAATAACCCTTAATAGACATTCTCATGACTGGACATCGTCCCTCCAATAGCCCCTCATAAAGGAGCTACCCTATAAAATGAATCATTTCTGTGTCAGCTATTTCACAGTGCCGAAAGGTTATCTGTAGATAAAAGCAATCAGGTTCTAGATCCAGCCCACCATCAATGTAGCAGCCCCCTGGGGAAGGGTTGGGGGGTGGATGGGGTTTGAGGTCAATTAACACTAGGTCAAGACAAGGACTCACTTCATTGCTGGTTTATTATGTTACCCGCTTATGAATGGTCACCCATCATCTCTATAATATGTTAGTTGTATGATGCGCATGTCTTATGCAAGACCTCTAAGCCCCACTCTACACCCACTGGAAAATACATTCTCTGGCACAGTCCTGACATGGGACGAGGAACCCCTGTGCCTCACTGTCTGTCTTTAATATTCTCCACAATTGCAATGTCACTCCTGAGGATCCGTTCTTCGAGTGTTGGGGACCCATGCATCCCAACACTTATTAGTGAGTTTACTTCTGGCGAGTTGTGTGCTTTGGGTCTCAGTGTAAGGTAGGGGAATCTATTTTCATGGGGTTGTGAGAACTCAATGTGCTATATTTTGTAAAGTACTTAGATGGGGACTGATACACAACAAATGCCCAATAAACATCAGCTACTGTTGAATAAGGAGCCTTGGTGGTGCACAAGGTAAGCCCTCAGCTGCTAACGGCAAGATGGCTTTTGGAACCCAACTCGAAAACCCTGGACATCCGATCCTGGATACATTGTTGCCTCGAAAACCCTAGGGGGAAGTAGTCTGTTCTTCTCTGTCCCAAGGGGTTCTATCCATTAACATCACTTTGATGGGACCTAGCAACAATGACACTGGATGAAAGTAGGGTACTAAATCATCGTTTTTACTTGCTGTTGATTTTATTTGTCTAGCTTTCATTTTTATTGACTTCTGTGTACTGCTTATTTTTTACTTATAAAATTAATTTATGAGAATCCATCTATATGTATTGAAAATGTTTTTTTCCAAGTTTACCATGTATATTTTTACTTTGAGACACCTAGTTTTATACTCAGATTTGTCCTCCCCACCTCCCAAGGGTTTTCTGGGTGTTTTCTGTTTAGAAAGGCCTTGCTCACATGGGAACAAGTTCTAATTCTCTCATAGTGTCCCTTGTTTTGTTTTTGCTTCACTTTGAATTTTCAGTTCTTTGATCAAGCTCTGTATATGTGTAAATAATAGCAAGAAGCAGCTTTCTTTCTTTCCCATGTGGCTAGCTATTTGTACCCCCTGTGTCACATACTAAGTCTCCTAGATCTCTTAAATGATACATGCTCCTATGAGGAAAATGAATGAAAAGATAAGTGGCTAACGTCTGGAGAATTTCTAGAGCCAAACTGGCTGGACGAACTCCTAGAATGATGACCCTGAGATAATGTCTATACTTTAAAGTCCACCCCCCCCAAAAAAAAGAAAAAAAAGTCCCCTTAAATCTTTTTAAAACCACGTAATACCAAAACCAAAATCATGGCCTCTGAGTCATATCTGACTCACAGGGACCTTATGGGACAGGGTAGAGCTGCCCCGGTGGGTGTCTGGAGACGGTTTACGGAAATCGAAAGTCTCTGTACCGTGCTGGAGCTGATGGCTTCCAGCCCAGTCCATAACCACGATGCACCAGGGCTGCAAAATCCAGCAGTAAACAATGTATGCCTTAAGCACTAAGTTCTTCTTTAATTATTTTATTGGGGGCTCATACAACTCATCACAATCCATCCATACATCAATGGTGTAAATCACATCTGTGCATTCGTTGCCCTCATCATTCTCAAAACATTGGCTCTCTTCTTAAGTCCCTGGCATCAGCTCCTCATTTCCCCCACCCCTCCCCTTACCGCCCCTCATGAACCCTTGATAATTTATAAATTGTTATTTTGTCATATCTTACACTGTCCGATGTCTCCCTTCACCCACTTTTCTGCTGTCCTTCCCCCAGGGAGGAGGTTATATGCAGATCCCTGTAATCGGTTCCTTTTCTACCCCACCCTGCCTCACCCGATAGCGCCACTCTCAGCACTGGTCTTGAAGGGATCATCTGTCCTGGATTCCTGGATTCCCTGTGTTTCCAGTTCTTATCTGTACCAGTGTACATCCTCTTGTCAAGCTGGATTTGGAAGGTAGAATTGGGATCGTGATAGGGTTGGGGGTGGGTGGGGTAAGCATTTAGGAACTAGAGGAAAGTTGTATGTTTCATCGAGCACTAAGTTCATTTAAGAACCATCGATGAGGACCACTGGTAGCACAGGGGTTATGCTTGAACTGTGAACCACAGGCCAGCATTTGGAAACCACGGGCTGCTCCTCTGGGGAGAGAGGAGGCTTTCGACTGCCTTAAAGAGTTACAGTCTCGGACACCCACAGGGGCAGTTCTCTTCCGTCCTACAGGGTCACCATGAGTCGACATCCGCTTGATGACAGTGAGATTGCTTTATTTGTCCCGTGGGACCACAGCCATTTGAAAGATTGGGTAGGAACCCGAGGGAGCAGTGAAGTTTATCCAACTGGAGGGGGAGGAGCAACTCAGAAGAGCAAGGTCAAAAGTTGCACCGCTTGAAGAATGCAATCAAAGCCACTGTACCGGAGTAACGTCTGTCTTGGTGTGTTGTGCTGTGGATAGTCTCAACAACAACAAAGTAAAATCAACACACAAAACAAAACCACGCCCGCTAGCGCAGGCCGGTTTCCGGGGCTGGGAACGCGGGGCCGAGCAGCGGAACTCGGGCGAGTGAGCGCCGGGAGCCGGAGGAGCCGGGCCGCCGGACTGTACGGCAGCGGGGGAGCGATTTGACAGGTGCACCCGGCTGCGGGGAGACCGGGGCGATGCTCCCCTCTTTGCAAGAATCGCTGGATGGGGACGACAAGGAGCTCGAGAGCAGTGAGGAGGGGGGCTCCGCGGAGGAGCGGAGACTCGACCCGCCGTCCAGCAGCCACTACTGCCTGTACAGCTACCGCGGAAGCAGGTGCAGGCGCCCCGCCCGGCGGCCCCGCGGCCCCGCCCCAGTCCCGCCGCCGGCCCGGCACCCTCGCAGGCCCTGGGGCTGGGCAGCGCCCAAACGCCATCTTCTCTCTCCGCCCAGGTCTCCAGGGGCCCGAGGGGCCCTCTGAGCCTCTCGGGGTCCATCCTGCCCCCACCCCGCTCCGGGGCCTTTATGTCTGGCCCCCGCCCCCCGCCCCGTCTCCCAACTGACCCCCGGCTCTCAGGGCCACCCTCTCGCCCTGTCCTTTGTTTCGTGGAGGGCCGGGCACGCGCAGTAACGTCAGTTCCCCTAGCCGGTCTGCTCTTTCTGAATTCCTACGACCCCATCACTGGCATCCGCTGCCCTTGGGCCTGTTTTCTTTCCTCCCGGCCTGGCGGATTTGCCTGGGACCCACCTGAGCCTCTCCAGCCTGGTTATTTACAGCACATTTCCTTGTGCTTTCTGAGTGTGTAGCCTTTTCGCTGGGCTAGTGAATTACGGGTGGGGCTGCTAACCTCAAGGTCAGCAGTTCAAAACCACCAGCTGATCTGTAGAGGCAGATAAGGCGTTCTACTGGAAACCCTGAGGGCCATTTCTACACTTCCCCATAGAGTCATTATAGAACACGTGTCCAAATCAACTAGATGGCAGTGTGTTTGAGTTTGAGCCTTTGCTCTGCCGCGTTAGGTAGGTCTAAAGCAGCAGTTCTCAACCTGTGGGCTGTGACCCCTTTTGGGGAGGTCAAACGGCCCTTTCACAGGGGTCACCCGATTCCTAACAGGACCAAAATGACTGATGAAGTAGCAACGAAAATAATTTTCCGGTTGGGAGGTCACCACCACATGAGGAATTGTATGAACGGTTGAGGAAGGTTGAGAATCACTGGTCTAAAGAGAGAAGGCGCTCTTGCCAGCACTGTGATCTGCCTGTGTGTTTCCTGCCCATGATGAGAGGCAGTGGAGGATCTGTGGACTTCTTTGCTGTGATTTTGGTGGACTGGCTTGCCTCCCGGACACTGCCCCCATACTCCGAGTGAAAACGCCTGTGATTGAAGGTGGTCTTGCACTTGTGACTTGCAGATGGGCACAGCAGCAAAGGGACAGTGACGATGGAAGTGGCACAAATGCAGAAGCTCCCACCGGTGACGATTTCAGGTAAATCCAGCATCACCCTAATGCATCCACATGCTTTCTCTTGTACCTCTGGCCCATAGATGCCAGTGGGTACCCTGCTTCTCCTGAGCTTTCCCTAAGTCGAACCATCAAGCCCACCTGTCTCCTAGGATTGTCTCCTTGGCACATTCGTTCAAAGCTAAGGCAGCAGATCTTCAAACTGATAGTGCCTTTGGGAATTAAAATGATTTTTTTAGTATCTTGCTGGGAACCCCAGTAAAATATTCAAGGGCACATTGCTATAAAGAAGTTCAAGATCCTCTTTTTGTCTACTCTTGTAGCAACTCTGCCACACACTTGGATGTAAACACCAGGCCGCCAGGGACTATTGTCACCTGTGCCGATTGTACATTCTTACCTAACACCTCGTGGAGAGCATTTCATACCTATGAAGTGACTCATGAGTAAGCAACCTTAAACACTCGATACGAAGTCAGATACAAAAGTACTGTGCTCATGGTTAAAGGATGGCTTAAGGAATGTTATCATTTGCTATGGTAACAATGTTGTTATGTATAATGCCCTCATCTTTGAGAGATACATAATGACAAGACGTATGGATGAAATGATATGATTCCTGGGATTTGCTTCAAAAGACTCTGAGGATGCTGAAACCCAGGACTGATGAACCTAGGAGAAAACAATAAGGGTTCCTGAGGGGTTCAGCGGGAGAGGTGGGTGAGGGAAAGGAGCTGATATCAAGGAGTTCAAGAAGGATTGTGGTAGCGATTGTACAACACTGCTTGATCTGATTGAACCATGGTATGACATGATGCCTAGATTATCTCCTAATGGTTTGGGAAAAATTTTTTTTAAAGAATCTGAAATGCAAGGTAAGTGGGAGGGGACAGCATGGGGGACAAATGAAAAAACATTGGCCATGAAGCTGGTAGTTTTTGAGTCTGGGGGATGGGTCCATGGTGGGTCCATTGTACTCTTCTCCCCTGTTGTACATGTGTGAGAATTTCCACAATATAATGAAACAAAAGACCTTCAAAAGTATTGGGTTCATAGTCTCTATTGTGAAGTTTGATGATAGAAGACCTTTTTTTTAATCTTCCCGTATGGTGAATTCATAGGTTTGGTTTATATTTTAATCTAAATCAAATTGTAATTTTGATTTTAGCTCATAAACAAAAGCTCAGCAGAGGTGTTCAGTCACTGGTAATAGGGAGTTGGAGGCTTGATGGAAGAGCAGATGGGGTGGAACAGGGAGGGACTTGGGAGAGAAGAGCAAATGGACCAAGAGATGGTGAGAGCTGGGCAGCAGGAAGGGCCTGCTCAGGTCTAGCAAGTGTTCATTGAAAGTGCGACTAGAGATGTGGGTATGCATTTTCATTCACCTACATACGTGCAGATGCAGAGCAGGTAGAAAGCTGGGTTAAATAAGGTTGGCGCCTTGCCAAGCAAATCCAGTGAGGCGAAAACAAAAAAGAAACAGGATGTACGTGAAGGGGCGATGATAGTGACTGGCAGTGCAATTTTAGTTGGGTAAGGAGCCTGGGTTGGTGCTATGGGATAAGCATTGGATTGTTAACCACTGGTTCAGTGGTTCAAACCCACCAGCTGCTCCAAGGGAGGACAATGAGGCTGTTGGTACCTGGAAAGATTTATAATCTCGGAAAAAAAGCTATATATAGGAACACTTATGAACCAGAATTGACTCAACACAGTGGGTTTAGGCTTTGGTTGTTGTTCTTAAGGAGAAGGGAGGAGACCTCGTGGCACAGTGGGTTAGACACTTGGCTGTTAGCTCAGTGGTGGGCAGTTTGAACCCACTAGCCACTGCAGAGAAAGACGTGACTCTGCTTCTGTAGAGACGCGCAGCTTGGGACATCCTCCGAAACAGTCCTGCCCTATCCTGTAGGATCACTGCTAGGTGGAATCGAGTCTCGGGTAAGAAGGGAAGTGCGATGAGAAGCCTGGGGGGCTCAGAGGAAGAGGAGGGTCACGGATTGGGGACCCATGTAGAATACGAGAGAGAAAGAGCTGAGGATGGAAGACCAGGTTAAGCAGTTGAGGGGCTCGTAGTGGGTGACCTACACTCCTAGAAGCCTCATCAGCAGACGCGCCAGAGAGGTCGCCTTCCTGAGTCCTTCGAAAGCCTCCCTGGCTGTACGTGGCTTTCTGTCTGAGTTTCGGCGTGTGAAGGCGAGAAGCCGCTGGTAAGGACTGTCTGTCTTTGATTTGACAAGCCTCTCCTTGGTGGACACGAATCTCCCAGCCGAAGCGGAGCCACAGCTGCGCAGTTTCCTTGCGAAGCGGCTTTCTAAGGGGGCAGTCTTTGAAGGCCTGGGGAATGTCGCGTCCATGGAGCTGAGGTAAGTGTGCCCTGGGCTGTGTCCTGTCCTGCGGTTTTCCTTCTGAGCTCAGCGTGAGAAACTCCTCAGGACCAGCTCCTCCTAGACCCGCAGGGTGTGCTCATGCCCTCTGATAGCCCCGGGCACGGGGACTCCTTTGTAGGACGAAGTGGCCGGACTGGCAGGGACTCCACCACTTCCTAAGTTGACTCTGCTGGGTTTATATTTGAAAGAAAGGAGCTAAAAGCGAAGCAGAGTCATCAGACTTGTATAGTGCGGAGTTTATAAAGGGCATTCGTGAACGTTTTGTGTCTAATGTACCTTTTTCTAGAAAGCGTGAGAAAGAAGAAATACGGGATTCAACTCAAGACCAGTGGAGTGGAGTGCCCAAGACCCAAAGACTGGTCCCCAGTGGAGTTGGGGGACATAGGTGTCCTCTGTCTAGTCCAGCTGTCTTTCCATTTCACCCCTGGGTTGCATTTCCCTTCAGACTAGGTAGTTGGCCTACAAATCCCGCCCAGAGGTAGAGTTCATGGTCCAAGGATAAGACCACAGAGTAAACACAGAACATCTGCCCATCGAATCAGAGACTTTTCATGTATACGAGGAGCTGTGTGCTCTGCTGGTAGGCGTGAACGACGACGGGAGAAGGCTGGCAACTGACTAGGGGCCAGTCTTTTTTTTTTTTAACATTTTATTAGGGGCTCATACAATTCTTATCACAACCCATACACACATCAATTGTGTAATGCGCATTTGTACTTCATTCTCAAAACATTTTCTCTCCACTTAAACCCCCGACATTAGGTCCTCATTTTTCCCCTCCCTCCCCGCTCCCCCCTCCCTCATGAGCCCATGATAGTTTATAAATGGGTATTTTGCCATATCTTGCCCTGTCCGACGTCTCCCCTCACCCACTTTTCGGTTGTCCGTCCCCCAGGGAGGAGGTCACATATAGTCCCTTGACTAGGGGGCAGTCTTAATAGTGTGCTGAAACACCAAGGTGACCAAGATTTAGAGTAGTCCACACAGGTAGAGGCGCGCGTCACCAGACAAATACCTTCCACCCGCTCTCTTCCAGTTCTCCAGGTTACCGAGTCGGTTGTTACTACTGCCTTTTCCAACAAGAACTGCCTCCCGAAACGGCCACGGCGGACTCTGAAGACCCACCTTCCCAGTGTGTGGTCTGCTTTCTAGGGGGCTCTGAGAAAGGACTTGAGCTATATCCTTTCACTGTCTCTGAGGCTATTGGGACAGAAAACCCGGGAAGGCAAGTGGGGGAACATTGCTCCCAACCTCCCAACAGCTTCCCTAGCCCCTGATGTAAGGATCCCTGGAGGCACGGTCAGGTGAGCTTTGGACCGTTAACTACAAAGTCAGTGGTTCAAATCCACCAGCTGCTCTTTAGGAGACAGACGAGGCTCTCTGCTACTCTCAAGATTTATAGCCCCGGAGACCTCTCTATTGGGTCCCTGTGCGTTGGATTTGACTGGATGGTGATGAAGTTTTTTGGAAGGTGGGGGTAACTTCCTTATGTGTATTTACTTGAATTCATATCTTCATATAAGCCAGTCTGTCCTGGCTTGTTTTAATTTGCAGTTTGTGTCATCTGAGAGATTTTATATTCCATCTTGGGAGGTCATAAAACACCGACCTGATTAATCCCTCTTGCTTCCTTAAGAATGTACCTTCAGGCTCGAATTGGACACATATATTCAAGAGCTGAAAAATAATATGAGCTGTGAGGTAAGGTGACTGCTTTAGTAATATTTTACGACTGAGTGGATTAACATCCTGTGACTGCTATACTGTCAAGTCATAGGTGGGATCCAAAGTCACTTCCATATGAAAGACATGCCACTTTGTGGGCAAAGTAGGCAGGGACCATAGTCCTGTAAATGCTGACGTTTCACAGGACAGCTTCTGATGTTTCGCTTACATGGAAAATTCAGTCCATTCAAGTTGAAGGTTTATTTTCTATTCTGGTCAGAACTAAACTAATAGTCCCTGCAGCTACTGGCACCAGAAACATAGTAGGCAGGGATATGGCTCTCCCTGAACGCCACCTCAAAGAGTTTTAGAGAGATCCCATTGCTCTTTTACGACTTAGATCTATCCATATTGGTTCATTTTTCCAAACCTTTTAACAAATGGCTTCAGCTTGTGGCGTTTGTGAGAGTCACGCCTTGGATGAGTGTGCTGCCCATTCCAGGGAGTGGCATTTTGCTCCTTCCACTTGTCATGTGTGCACAAAACACTGCCGGAGGAACGGGAAGGAGAGCGTGGGGATGTGCATCTCGGGGAGCTACTGTCCCAGGCTGAAGCTGTTCCTCTGGGACACGAGTCCCCAGAGAGCAGCACAGCCGAGAAATCAGATGGGACACGCATGGGCAGTGTGTCTGACAAGCAAAGAGGGCTTAGTTCACTTGTCCCCCCAATGGACATTTTGAGTGTGAATGAACTTTGTCTACATTCCTTCAGTCATTCAGTCCACTGAACAAGCTTGTTCTATGGCTGTTTTCAATAGTGTACGAGGCACTGAACACACGAGGATTAAGGGAGAGACTCTCCACGGAGTGCACAGGATAGTGGGGAGATGAGTATGTACATCCCCAGCTTCTCCCAGTGAAGAAAGAACATGGGGCTCCATGAGCGTCTTCGCTTCATACAACTCATCTCCCAACACACTTTCCAAGAAGCTCAGAACAGAATGAATCTCCCTGCCCAGGCACCCGGGGAATACTAGAATCTGGCAGGGCCCTTTGGTGTTCGAAGCTGATGGCGTTAGCTTGAGCAAAGGAGGTGTTTGGCTCCGTTTGTTGTCAAGGGTGTCATCAAGAAAAGGTTCGTCTACCTACGCAAGTGGGAACTTATGCGAGAGCAAGTGTATTCTGTTTCATCTAGGAGAGGGGCCTGGAGAGCCACCTAAAATCCTATCTGAGCAACTGGTTTGAGGATGTTGTCTGCCCGATCCAAAGAGTCGTTCTTCTCTTCCAGGAGAAACTTACCTTTTTGCTGCATGCTGTAAGTATTGCCCAAACAAGAGTATTTCCTTCATTGAGCATTGCTTTGGTCGGGGAGGGAGGGGGTAAAGATGAGGAGCTGATGCCAAGGGCTTAAGTGAAGAGCAAATGTTTTGAGAATGTTGAGGGCAACAAGTGTACAAATGTGCTTTACATAATTTTGATGTATGTATGGATTGTGATAAGAGTTGTATGAGCTCCCCCAAAAATGATTTAAAAACAAAAACAAAACAAAAAGAATCGCTTTGGCAAGGGCCTCACCAGGAGTGGAGCCAGTGGCTAAAGTGGACTCAACACAAGAAGCCTCCACCTAGCCTGGGCACGGACACGGTGGACAGATTGATGGCTCTTTTCGATTTTGTGGGGGGGGGTGCATGGCCATTCGTAGCCGAGGAAGTGGTTTGTCTAGTTAATTCCGATAACAAATGAGACTCTGCCATGCTAACTAGTTACATGACCCCCAAGTGGTTGGTGTCCCCCTCCCTAGCTTCTCAGAGGGCTGAGTGGCATTCAGCCACCCGAGATTGATCAAAAGCAGATCTATGATGCCCTTAGATGTCCAGGGTTGCACTATAGTTCTCTTCTATAAAGTCCACTACATTGACTGGTTCAGTGTGTGCCCATCCTTCACCAGCAGGAGTGGGGAGCCCCACTTATCGTGGGGATTGGGGAGTGCAATTATTCCCATGAGTGAGGAATTCCCGGTAAGTGTGGGTCCTAAGCTTGTGTTAATTAAGTCCCTGCCATGTGTACGCACCACCTGGCACGTCTACTGATTGGATGGATTGGCGAGGCCTTCAGATGGGTCTTGCTGGGGTCTGCCCAGGGGTGTGCTGAAAAGACAGTTGAACTAGCCTGTTCCGTTCATAGGTTCCTAAACTTACTTCATGCATCGCCTCCTTTTCAGAAAAACAAAAAAACCCAAAAAACTCAGCACCCCACAAGCAATTAGAAGCTTCTGTACTATGGCCCAGAATCCAGGATAAAGTGTAGGTTCCCGGTTTTTGCAGCTCCCTGGCTTGTGAGAGTACCCCTCAGGGGCTGGAGTCACCCACTTTGAGAAACACTAATCCAGAGGAGGTAAAAGTGGTAACAAGGTATCTGTAAAAAAGAATCACTTTGGCGGAGTTTGAATTACTTAATGGTGTGTTCGTCCGGGTAGACTAGAGAAACAAATTCATAAACACGCATATGTGTATGAGAGTTTTAACAGAAGGGGTAATTGTACATTAAGAAAGCATCCCAACCAATCCAGTCCAAGCCCATAAGTCTGATATTAGCCCATGTGTCCAATACCAATGTATAAAGTCCTCTTCAGACTCATGAAACACATGCAATGATGCTGAATGCAGGAAGATCACAGGCCAGTGGGTAGAAAGTCTTTGGGTCCAGAGATGTAAGCATCTCAGCACTGGCAGGGGTCTCCACGTGGTTTCTCCAGCTGCCAGGGTTCTGGCTGCATCAGGGTAGGTCCATGTGGCTTCTCCAACTCCCAGGGCTTAGTGCCATGTTTCTTGTCAGTAGAGCATTTTCTCTGGGAGTGAGCAACGAGAGAGATAGTGTCTCCCACCTCCAAGAAGGAATACTGGATTTCCCAGAATCCTCAGGAGTAGGCCATGCCCACACAGAGGCCTCATTGGCTATGACCCGATTGGCAGACTAGACTCTACCCCTTCACTCATAGTCCTCTAAAATTGGTACCAGATTATGTAACCACCACAAATAGCATCACCCATTTTTCTCTGAACACTCCTTTTCCCCCGGGAATATTCACTCAAACTCTGCTTGTTGAGAAGGAGACCACATCTCATTTCTCCCCATCCAGGGAGATAGATGACTATTGTCAATGGCAAATACGAGCTAAGACTTCCTGAGAGCATGAGGCCTTTTTAAGTAATTACTTTTTGAAAGTGATTTTGGGGGGTAATTATAAAAAATAATTGCTTCTGGAAATGATTTGAGAGTGATGTAATTTCCCAAAAAAGTTTGAGACGGAGGACAACAGCCCAGAGTGATTTTAGCTGTGTTGGTAGGGACAGTTCACGGACAGACACCGGCAGTGGCAGAGGCTTGAGCGCATGTGACGGAACTGTTCCTTTTGATGTGTAGTGGACAGATGCCCAAACCCCAAGAGACCAAGGCAGAAGCTCCAGGTCTCCGCGCCAGCGAGCAGCAGCTGGACCCGGCTCTTCCCAGCTGGGGTGCGGTGCCTGTCGAGCTTCTGGGGTGAGGCTGACTTAGGAAGTGACATTTTGTCACAAGTAACTGCTGGGTAAGAAGAACTAGAACATCCGTATCCATCAGGCTTTATTTTTCTCTTGTAGGCCCTGAGCTATACTCCTGTCGACGTGATAGAATCAGATGAAAAGACCAAGAAAGACATTCACAGGTAGAGAACATGGTTTTTCCAAAGAGTCCCTTTTCCACACAGCCGGCGTTTTACTAAAACGTCTTTAGCGCAGCATGAATTTGCTTCTCCCGTCCACCCCCTCCACCCTCCCACCCCCCACACACCCCGGCTGTAGTACTGTGTGTGAAACAGACTCGTGTGTGGCAGGTTTCTGAGTGTGGCCAGTCTTCAGGGACTTATTCAGGAAGGCACCATGACCTCTCTGTGCATGGCCATGACGGAGGAGCAGCACAAGTCTGTGGTCATCGACTGTAGTGGTCCCCAGCCTCGATTCTTCAATGCAGGTGAGGGCGACCGCCGCCACCGCCCCAGCTGACCCCAGTCCCCGGGCGTCTTAGTTGTCCTGAGCAAGAAGGGACAAAGGAACCCCAAGTGCTTCTGTCTGCTTTGTGCCGTTTAACAGCTATCTCAGATTGGCTGAGAACCACTTCAAAAAGTGAAATCCATTTTTGTTTTTAAGTTTGAGAAGCAGGGGAATAATTCCATGCCTAGCAATTCTATTGCACCCCTAGGAATAGAGAGCCACTGGCAGATGGACCCAGGAGACCTCCACAAGTGTCTGTAAGGTCATGGTTTGAAAGACCAAAGAACTGGAAGTGACCTAAATGTCCATCAACAGGAAAACTGGAATGCGCGTGAATGAGCTAGAGTGGCATGTATCAACTTGGTGCATAAACATGCTCATCAGTAAGACAAGTCATTAGAGAGAAAGACATGCAGTTTTAACATAGGAAAGTGGTAGTATACAGGGCTCACGTATAAAAGACATAAAGGAAAAGCAAATGCATGGAAAAGGATTGTGGGGGCTGATGAGGGAGGAGGACATAAGGGATTTCGACTCTGTTGGTATTTCTATTAGGTAGTGAGCACACAGGTATGTGTGGCATTTTATTTAGACTCTTGTAGAAACCCTGCTGTTGTCATGTGCTATGAATTGAACCGCTAACCACAGGGTCACCAGTTTGAACCCTCCAGTTGCTAGCAGGGAGAAAGATGAGGCTACGAGGATTTAGATGGAAAGTCTGGGAAGCCCACAGGGGCAGTGCTGCTCTGTCTTCCGGGGTCCCTGTGAGCCAGCTATGCCTTGACGGCCATGCGTCTGACTGAGCTTGATGACAGAAGTCTTCCATAATGCCTTATAGATATTTTTATAGTGAAAGATAAATGCCTTGCGCTCTAGGATTACATGTTTGTTTATTGAATTTTTCCAATGTATTTCTTAGGAAGCAACCGGTTTTGTGAGGATTGGATGCGCGCCTTTGTAAATGGTGCTGAGGGGGGCAACCCTTTTCTCTCCCGGCAAGTACTGGAGAACTTTAAATTGAAGGTAACGCATTGACTGTGTACCATGGGCCACAGTCCACGTCCGCCGGAGTTTTGATTAGTACCAAACTGCTGTGGGGCTGCCCTGTCTGTTAATAAGACACTCTCAAAACCGGCATGCTCAGGAGGAGATTACAGGCTTCTGCCTACAAATCCTTGTATTTTCAATTAGTTGGTTTGAATACTTGTTTATACTGAAGGAACAATAATCTTTTAATTTGTGGCATATCTTAGTCACAAAACAGAAAAACATAGCCCAGTGCCCAAGGATTCAACATTTTGGGGCGGAGGAGTGGGAGGGGAGTACTGTATGTTATCTAGGAGTTTTACGTTTGACGTAGTTGTTCTGTGCAGACGAGATTTGGTTCTACCAAGGGCAGTTCATATTAGCAATAAACCGGCTGGAAACAGTTAAAATAAAAAGTCAACGTCTCAGGAACCGAGGAGGTAAGTAAAAAAGTATTGCTATGGGGGTTCCAGTTTATACCTGCATGGGTTTATTGCACACAAAGCATGTTTAAACACGTCCGCCATAGGTGGACGGCTGTGGACACGCTCTCCCAGTCATACACTGGCCCTTACTCTCCTTAGGACGCCTTCCAAAACCACACAAGATGCGGGCACCTGCTGGGCCAGCGCAGTGTCTGTTTGGGGGAATCTTGACAGATTATTTTGAACACGGGACAGTTAAGGGGGTTTATGATGAAGAGTTCTAAGAAAATGGAAATTTGCATTCCTGAGAGAAAGGCCGGGAATTGCCCTGACCCCTCTTTTTCTGTACTGTGAGAATGTCCTCGGGGAGCTTGACTCCCCCCAGGCCAGGTGACACCCTGCAGCCCTGACCTTGCCCCTTCAGACTTGTGTTCCTCCCTCTAACTCAAAGAACATTGAGATGGCACGCCAGTTGAGTCCCCGGAGGAGGAGGCCAAACTGCTGTTGTGACGTGGTTTGAATCAGCGCAGCGAGCAGACGTCTCTGGGGAGAGGTCAGCCAGATGGAGACCCTGCCTTCAGAAGTGTGCAGCCCTGGAGGGAGGCCGAGTCAAACAGCAGCGTCACAGTTGGATGTGATGGGTAGCAATATTTTTGACCTCATACAGAGTCCTCAGCTGGGCAGGGGACCTCTTTCGAGCTTCATTCATTGTCTCACCACATATTTAACGGCACCGTCTTTTTCTAGGCCATCCAAGACACAAATAATTTGAAGCGGTTTATCCAACAAGCAGAAATGAATCATTATGCTTTATTTAAATGTTACATGTTCCTGAAGAACTGTGGTAGCGGCGATATTCTTTTAAAGATTGTCAAAGTGGAGCATGAAGAAATGCCAGAAGCCAAGAACGTGGTAGCCGTCCTTGAAGAATTCATGAAAGAGCTCACCTAAGTTGTGTGACGGGACCACGCGCTCTCGGACAATCCCATTGTCCAGGCAGCAGGGCCACGCCTTGGTATTTGAAATTGTAGTCGTCACTGCCTACAGAATTACTGTTGAATATGCTTTGAAACTCATTTCAGATTTTTCTTTTTCCTTTTTAAAAATTAACTCAATTAAACCCAGATCTCTGAGGACCATCTTTACTAAGTCCTAGATAGATAGACCTGTGTGTCAGAATTGTGAACTTTTAATAGGTCACTGGCCCTGTGCATTCTGGATCCCAGGGAATGGTTGCTTTAAAAATGTCAGAGGTCATTCTATGGCCTCTCTCCGGCGTTTGCTGCTGTAGCTAGCAACTTTTCCCCTCGGAAAAATCGTAATACCTATTCCTCAATGGATTGTTGCTTCTTAAAAAAAAAAGTAGTCCTAGCTTTAGGACAGATGCCTGCCTGTGACACCTGGTGTTTTCCACTTGGCCTGATTGACAGTGGCAGTGATGACGCAGCCCCCACGCCAGTCGGTGTGGAAATAAATCATGCACGGGGCAGCTCTGAAATGAACATCACCAGTAGCTGTCTTACCTTCCACATTAGACGTTCCGGAGAGAAAACGGCTGCGGACGTGGCTTCCCCAACCACCTACCTTCCTCCATTTGTCACCGATACTTGCCAAGGGCATGGCTGTTCTTTCTCGTTCTAGCTGAAAGTGCTCTGGCTTTAAGCCAGTGTCAGGGGAAAGCAACAACAGAATCCCCGAAGCAGAATCCTTCATATCAGAAGAATCCCTCATGGTAGTGTTTTGCACATTATTTAAAGCCTCACATTGTTTTTACTTTGGATCAATTGAGAGTGCCCTCAGCTAGCTGTTTGTAGTTTCCATGGAAGCCACAGGCTTGTCATTGTGCTGCATGCCTCTTCCACCTCAAGCCTGTAGGGTAATGGTTTCTGTTGAGAAGTTCAGACCGGTTCCCAGGACCCTGAGGATCCTCAGAGGGACATAGGCCCCTTAACCCTGAAGAATCCTCTCCTCAGCGGGTCGAGATTCACACTCTCTGCCTAGTTTTGACTTTGAGAAGAACTGACAGTGGGCTTCTGTCTGCTCGGCATACGTCTATCTTAAGAACATGATTCACTGAGCCATTTATTTTCCTTTAATGAGAAGTACAATTCTGCATCCTCATAAAGGCTTTGATGTCACTATGTTTTAATAACTTAGACTGTAGACAGTGTAGGGGAAAAAAATCTAGCATTTTTATTTTTAATGAGGTTCAGGATGACTATGGAAAATGAGCGTTTTATAGTACTACTCTTGATTTTATAGTACTACTCTTGAATCCGACTATCTTTTTTCCTGTTGCACTTGATTGTCTACTTAGGAAACAACTTTTTATTAAATCTTAAGGTTTTTTTGAATGTTGTGAGTTGAGTGAAAGTTGACAAAGCAAGTTCGCTTCCCGCATTTTGTTTCCTGACATGCCTTGCCATCACCTCAATGTAACAGCACTGAGCCCCCTTTGCCGTTCGCCCTTTGCTGCCCCGGCCTGCCTGCTGAACTGAGCCTTCGTGCAAACGCTGCTGCCCTGTGTGCTTAGAAGGGGTGACTGGCTCATTGTTCGGAGGCAGGCACTCCTCCTGGCCCTTTCCTTCCCTGTAGGCCAATTGTTGCGCTGCCTGGAGAGCTCTGGGAGTAGGTGTTAGTCCAGGTTTGAAGGGTGTCATTTGGGCCACAGTCTCGGGTTCTGTCCATCTCGGTCAGAGCAGTACACGGAGTCTTTTTCACGATTTTGCATTTATTTTGATTTGTGTAGTGATAGCAGGCGCCATCATGTCTTTGGTCTTGGCTGTGGAGGCTGTGGTTAGCATGGCCTGTGAGTCCTGTGGACTGTCTCCTTGAGATTTTTATTTTCTTCATTCTTCTGTGCTCGGAACTGTTCTTTCTGTTTTTAGATAAGTAATACCAGGACATCAAAATTTGGGGTCTGGAAAACAGTTGTTCACTTTTAAATTCACGTGCCATTCCAGAGTCCATGTTGTAAATGGCACTTAAGAACAAATGAACTGTCAGAGCCCCCAATAAGATGATTTATGTTTTAAAAAAAGAGCAAATAAAAAAAAAAAAAAGAGCAAATAAGCCTATTGCCTGCTTCAAAACACTAATGGATATGAGCAAGGTAAAAGGATATTCTCCCAATGAGGTGGTTTCAAAACTTGTGGGCAAAATGGAATGAAAAGGTAATGGAATTTTTCTGTGAACTTTTTGAGCCCTTCCCCCATGTGTGTGCATACATGTATATACCACGTGTGCATATTTAATAATTTAGGGTCTCTATATTATATCTTGTACATAAAACAGCCTTGTTTTAAAAGTCTGACAAATTGTATTTCACTACAATAGACAAGGGAAATTTGACATGAAATTGAGTAGCTTGTTGGCCAGCAGAAGAAACCCCGGTCATGACCAGAGACGTGTACTACATTCAAACAGTAAAAAGCTATTGTATTAACTTTTAAAGTTTTAAAAAAGGTTTATATAGACCTGGAGTAAATTTATGTTTTGTATTATTTGTATGCTGTACACTGAGGAAATGTGTGTCATGTATCAAAAGAGGCCTCTGTTTATCTGTTAATTATACTTGTAATAAGAATAATAATAAAGAATGTGCTTCTAATCAAAGTAGTAATATTTGTTTAGGAGTTCAGTTCTCAAGCCTGATGTTTTTATTAATTCCCAATGTGTTTATGGGGAAATGGTACTTTTTACACTCAAGAATTTGGTGAAGGCGGGGAAGGGAGGGAAAAACAGGAGGTGATACCAAGGGCTCAAAGAGAACGTAAATGTTTAGAAAATGATGATGGCAACATATGTACAAATGTGCTCGATACAATTCATGTGTGGATTGTTATATGAGCTTTAAGAGCCCCCAATAAAATGATCTTTCAATAAAATTTTTAAAGGAATTTGGTGAAGAATGCAATCGTGCTGGAATATACTTCCCTGGTCCTTTCAGAAGGCATCAGGCAGGGTGCACGGGCAGGGCAGTTTCCTTCGTATGTTTTATTCATCGTTCAGTAAAGTTAAACACACAGCACACAATAATGACCCAAGCACTTCCTTTCTCATCCATTATTAACTGTGACAGAATGCCTGTTCTGTACCAGAGGATCACTTAAACCAGATGCCAGGAAAGCCTGCAGGCTGCTGGGAAATAGGATACAGCAAGGAAGGCCACATTCCCCTAACCTCAGGTCTTCCCAGTGCCTGGAAACCCCGCTGGCTGGCTGTGGTGAAATCTTTTTCACTTGGAAGCCTGGGAGGTGGCGCCAGTTTTCTGCCAGTCTCCCTAAATGCGCCTCGCAGACTTTAAATCACAGATGGCTAGGTGGCATAAACGCCTGTGTTCTGGAACATGGAGGTGCAAGGGAGCAGTCATAAATCAAGAGCTGTAGTGTTTTGGTAAAAGACTTCCAGGAGGGCTGGCAACAGGGAGATTCTGTGAGATGGCTTATTACTGGGTGAGATGACCCCAGGCCTACTGCAAGGAGACAGATACTCTGAACCTTCCCCGAGTTCAGTGTCTTCGGGGTCCCTTACAAAAACCTGAGAGCTGAGAGCAGGAGGGTTGGAGCCAGACAGTCTAGCTGAGAATCTAGCTCTGCCATATAATACCAGCAAGTTCTCCACACTCTCCCCTCGTGTGTAAGTGCAGGAAATATTTACACTCACTTCACACCAAGAAGTACCAACTCAACGAGAATAACATACTGCTCCTGTGGGTTTTGGAAACGAATCCCTCATCTTTCTCCTGCAGAGCGGCAGGTGGTTTCGAACTGCTGATTTGGCAGCAGCCCAATGAGTAACCACTATGCCATCAGGGTTCTTAGAGCGGTCACTGAGTTGACGAGATTTGTATACAACCCACCGGAGCTCTGGTGGCAGAGTGAGTTACACATTGAGCTGTGGGATAGGTAGTCTTATTGTGCCAACCTGGCCAGTAAACACGTGGGATTAATAAGGTTGTGGGTTTTTTTGTTTTGTTTTGTTTGTTTTTTTTTTAAATCTTTTTTTTTTTCTTTTCCTTTTTTAACATTTTATTAGGGGCTCATACAACTGTTATCCCAATCCATACACACATCAATTGTGTAAAGCGCATTTGTACATCGTTTCTCAAAACATTTTCTCTCCATTTAAACCCCCGACATTAGGTCCTCATTTTTCCCCTCCCTCCCCGCTCCCCCCTCCCGCATGAGCCCTTGATAATTTATAAATGGGTATTTTGTCATATCTTGCCCTGTCCGACGTCTCCCTTCATCCACTTTTTGGTTGTCTGTCCCCCAGGGAGGAGGTCACACACAGTTCCATGTAATCGGTTTCCTCTTTCCTACCCATTCTCCCTTTACCCTCCCTGTTTTGCCACTCACATCACTGGTCCTATAGGGCTCATCCGTCCTGGATTCCCTGTATTTTCAGTTCCTATCTGTACCAGTGTACCTCCCCTGGTCTAGCCAGTCTTGCAAGATAGAACTCGAGTCATGGTAGTGGGAGCGGGGAGGAAACCTTTAGGAACTAGAGGAAGGTTGTATTTCTCATCATTGTTACATTGCACCCTGACTGGCTCATCTCCTCCCCGAGACCCCTCTGCAAGGGGATCTCCAGTGGCCTACTAATGGGCTTTGGATCTCCACTCCGCACTCCCCCCATCATTCACTATGGTAAGATTTTTTGTTCTGATGATGCCTTACACCTGATCCCTTCGACACCTCGTGGTTGCATAGGCTGGTGTGCTTCTTCCATGTGGGCTTTGTTGCTTCTGAGAAGGTTGTGGTTTAATTGAAGAGCAGGGAGATAAATGGCTCAGCGCGCCTCGTCTTTCTGTCTCTTGCTCTCTGATGATTGGATCAGTGTGCGGCTACCTTAGCTAGTTCTCTGCGTCAACTTGGGAGCTACTCTACCTGTGGGACAGCCAACCCGTGGACTTTGTCACTGTAGTTTTAGGTTCCCTCAAGACCTGCTTCACCACACTGCTGGTGTATCCATCACTTGAGCTGGGAACTGCCGGACCCTGTCATCTGGCTGACTGTTGGTGACCTGCCCTGCTGTCTGCTGCCAACTGTGTGGTTTGAAGTCCAATGTTTACACAGCAGCTTCGTCAGAGCTAGCTGCACCCTCCCCCCACACACACACACATGCACCCCCAGCGCAGCTGAGAGAAGTTCTTGTTCTCCACAGGGTTCTCAGAAGTAAAGCACCGGGCCTTTCTTCCTCGGTGCCCTTGGGAAGCCTTTTAGATAGCAGCCAGGGTCCTTAACCACGTGCCCCTCTGAAATGCTATCCCCCACCCAAAAAATTGTCTAGGCATGTGTGTATTTTTATGGGGAGAGTCCAATGACTCAAGAGTCTAATGACTCCCAAAAGGGTGAAAACCAAACTTCAAACTCCCTGCCATTGAGTTGATTCCAACTCTAGGGCAGGGCGGAAGGTCTCCCGCGGGCTTTTGAGAATGATGGGAGAAAGTCTCATCTTTCTTCAGAGGAGCGAAGGGTGGGCTCGAAGAGCTGACTGTGGTGAACAGCCCAAGGAGTAACCACCACACAACCAGGGCTCCCAAAAAAGGTTAGGAACCCCTAAGGGTAAGCGCCTTGCATCAAGGCCCCGTGTGAACCTTATAAACTGCAGGTCCATTGTGCCTACTGCCGCCGCCCACGCCCTCCCCACGGCCCTGGCCCAGACTGAGCGCAAAAGGCTTTCCTGCCTGCCCTTCAGGTCACGTCTTGCAGAACCAGTGGCTTTAAAAAAAAACCTTTAATGGATTTCTGTGCTCAAATAATATGTTACAACAAAAATATACAGCATGTACACAATACAAAAATATTTAGAAACAAACATTGCAGCTTGTGTGTCATTTCAGCGTCCTTGGCGGGGAAGTTCACTGTCCGGCACTGTGATTTAAGGCAGAGGAGCGTCCGGGGCTTTCCAGCCAGCACTGGGAGCCAACCGGAGGGAGGCCAGGAAAGGGCTTGCACTGCACCAGGGAATCAGCATTATTTGCAAACTAAGGGGGGTGGGGGGAGTGCGAGGCAGGGGGCAGGGGATGACCTGGGCTTGGTAAGCAAGGCAGCCTTTATCCTGGGGCCTGGAATGGTTCTCATGAAAATCAAGAGTCCTATTAGCCAGCAAGAGAGTCTCATTAGGGAGCTCTTCCTAATTAAAAAAACGAATGATGAATGGTATCATTAAAACGAAATTTCTCCTTTGAAGGTTTGGTTTTCTCCCCCCACCCTGTTTCTGTAATTCCTCTTCCATTTAACGAGCAAGCCAGCCAGGCCTTGGCTGCTGTTTAGGGACACCCCGCCCCACTCCCCAGCTCTCAGCTTCTGTAGCCTGTGGATGAAAGGCTCACCTGGCTCCACCAGCCTGAGGTGGGCACACTGCCTGGGCAGCCGTATTGGAAGAGGACGGAGGGCCGGGGTCCAGGTAAAGGGAAGGAGGCTGGCACTGAGAATTGGGAGGGTAGTAGCAACTAAGGGACTGGCTGCGGGAAAAACCAGAGGGACCTAAAAGAGAACCTCTCTTAGCAGATAGCTGGCCCTCAGCCTGGGTCCTGTGTATCTCTATTGTCACCCCATAGGTGGCCCTGCTTGGATGAGAGGGGAGGGAGGTGGCGGATCAGAGACCTTGGGGCTGGCTTGTGGACATGCTGAGGCCGGTGGCCTGAATGTAGATGACAACGTCCCTTTAGCATGTCCCAGACACCAGAACAGGAACAGGATGGAGACGAGATGCCTGTCTCAGGCAGTCCTTCTTGGTAACAAGCCTCTGTCTGAGGCCCTGAGTGCATCTCTACAGCTTTCTAGTCTTCCAGTGGCCTTCCCACCCGAGAGAAGTCCCCGCTAGCCCACCCTGCCAAAGGCTCTGTCCACTCAATCCCAGAGCCACCAGGGGCCGGCTCTGCGCCTCCATGACAACAGGCTCGGGAGGGGGGCTGCAGCCCCTCAAGGGGGCAGCAAAGTCCCGGCCTCTTTCTCACTCAGTTCATTGCCGCAGAGGCTCCTTTCCTAAGAAGCGGATTCTTCCATTTCTACCTCCCTTTCTTAAGGGCACAGAGAGAGGACAGGCAGGGCCCAGGCCAGACTGGCGCCACTCTGCCCAGCATCTGGACCACCTCAGACGGGCAGTTGGCAGCACAGCATTGACACAACAGTAGTGTGACCTTAGGAGCCGCGTGTGGGGGCACAGGCCAATGCTATTTCCTGTTGGGAGAGGGCTTGGCATAGCATGGGGATGCGGGTGTGTGTCCCTGGGTAGGGAGACATGTGATCACTGGGGGCAGGGAGCCACGGGGTCAAATCAAACCAAACCAAACTCACTACCATCGAATCGATTCCAATTCATAGCATCCCCATAGGACAGGGTAGAACTGCCCCTGTGGGGTTCCAAGACTCTAATTCTAAGATCTACCCCCAAAACTAGCCTGGGTAACTCTGGACCGTCACGCATTGAGCCCTGATGGGCACCCCCACAAATCTGTCCTTGCTTCAGCATGATCCCAGTCCCCCTGTGCCCCCCAGACCTGGAGTTCTTTATCAGTGGTTGAGAGTTCCTTATAAGGGAATAGCATATAATGCTTTGTCAAAAGTCTTACACCTTTACACCCTCACCTTGGGCCTGCAGCAGAACGGGGTGATTCGCTCTGCCTGGTCCTCCTCACTGCCTGTTGTCCTGTGAAACGGACGTGGAGGGGGGCTCGATCATCTCCAAGTCTGCTCCCAACTCCTGAGCCTATGCGATGCCTGCACCTCTGACCCTCAACCCAGCATCCAACGGGCCTTTCTCCAAAGGGAATTTCTGGGCCAACTTTGGAATTGCTTGTCCTGCAGCCTCCGGTCCATGGGGACACGTGGTTCACCATGCCTGCGACTGTCTCTTTTCCACTCTCAAAGTCCCTTCCGTCCTCTGGAAGAGGGAACAGACCTTCTCAGATACAAAGGCCATTCCAGGGTGGACACGAGAGCAGGCAGGACTTGGCAGAGGTGAGGAAATCCCCTCATTTGGGGATTTCTGGGGGGCGCCAGGTCCCCCATCCCAGCCTACAGCTCTTCCACTGGCCAGAGACTCTCAGGGAGGCACTTGGAAGGGGCAGGGGTGGGAAAGAGAGGGACAGGGGTTGTGAAAAGCAAGTGAATGCACAGCTACACCACATCAAACACTTTCCAGCGTCCTACCCACCCCTTGGCCCCTGCTCTCATTCCACATTGGGCCTTGTCCACACACTCTCACTGCTCCCGCCCACCCCCCCAACCCCGCCCAGGAAAGTCTCCTCCTGAGGTCGTTAGGTGCGGTCCAGTCCGTCCTACCCCATAGAGACCCTACACAGAGCAGAACAAACACAGCCACCCTCACGATGGGTCTTACGTTGGAGCCAACTGATGCAGCTGCTGTGTCAATCCGGCTTGTCAAAGGGCTCCTATTAGCCTCAAATGATCTTTTGAATCACACACTTCCCCGCCCACCAAGAAACACACACACACACACTCTCTCTCTCTCTTGCTGTGAAAGTACTATCTCCACATAAAGGAGAGGTTCAAGGTAGGATCAGGGCCGTGGAAGGGAAGCAAAAGAACCTAATGGCAAGGCAAGGCATGGGTTGGGTGCATTGTCAGCATTCTGGGAGAAAGGGTGGGAGACACGTAGAGTGGGTACGAGGCTGTCCCCAGGGTGCAGCTCCAGGCCCAGTTCATTTGCCCCCTCACTGAGCACCTGCAGGGCAAGGGCAGGGCCTGGAGCTGTCAGCGCCTCCCTCCTCTGGCCACCCCGGGCACTAGAGGCTATGCCCCAGTGCCCACAGGCACAAAAGGGCTTCCCTCAGGACCAAGCCAGCAGGTCCATGCACCAGGCCTTCTTCTCAGTCCCAAGCCCCATACCTAAGTCACTGTGGAGGGAATTCTCTCTGGCCTGCAAAGGATTCTGGGGTGGACACAGGACTGGCTGGCTTCTACCCCCCTCAGATGGTCCTTGCATCTCTTAGAACCTCTCTGTGGGGCGGGGGGTGAACAGGATCACTGCTCAGTTGGAGGCGAGGAGAGGGAACCGTGAACACACAGAACAAGTGCCGCCCAGGGGCAGGGCCACACGCCCTGTCACCACTGTCACCCAGACCCACGCCCTGGCCCAACAGTTAGAAGGGTAGAAGGAAATGAGAGTAGCTGCATCCGATCCCTCCAAAGGGAACCTCTGAGGCCACACGTTCAATTCCGCAGCTCGGCATCTCTGGCCCTCTCTTCCCCAGGCCCCGCTCAGCTGGTGCCGAGAAACAGAATGCAGGTGGCCAGTCCAGCTGCTGCTTCCCCCCACGGTCCTCTGAGCCCTCAGGGGGGCGGCGGCAGTTTCAAGTCCAGCAGCGTGTAGGCAAAGACGTTCCAGAAGACAGCGAACAGCACGAAGACGGTGTACATGGCCACGAAGATCCACCACAGCGACTGGTCCTGCAGCCGCTGCTCGTAGTTCCTGAGCACCACCACCCCCAGGGTGATGCCCACGGCCACGCCGCCCAGGTGGGCCACGAAGCTCGGGTGAGGGCACGGCGGGTAGGCCGAGGGGTGGAACCGGAGCCACACGGCCCTGCCAAACTCCAAGCTCACTGCAAGGGGAAGAAGAAGCACAGAGAAGTCATTGGACGGCCAGCGGGCCTGGCCTGAGGGCGAGGCCTCGCACGTCCACCCCCAGCAGGGCCCGCCGGGGAAGATGGACGGCCTGGACTGGCAATAGACCACCTAACCGTCACATACAGTAGGTAATTTCAGAGAGATGTCTGTGGCAATAGGGGAGGGGGGCGGAAGGTATGTGAGATGAGTGCTGGGCATGGGTGAGAGGGACCCTGTAGTCTGGGAAGTCAGGCAAGAGGTCCCCAAAGTGGTGACGTTTGAGCTGCCATTGAATAGCAAGAGGGGTCTGAGAAGAGCCTGTCAGGCAGAGGGCACAGGCTCGACAGAAGCCCAGAGGGCTGCTGCAGTCCCACTGTGCCTCCCGGAGGCTCCGTTTCCCTGCCTGCACAGAGCTCCAGCCTCCAGGTCCTAGGCCGTGCTGCTGGAATCGTAATGAAGTCGTGATGCACCGGGCACTCCATAGTTTACAAGGCGTTGTTTTCACACTGAAGCCCGAGGCCCTTAGGAAGCGCTCCAGAACCAGTGCGTTGGGGGAACAAAGGAAAGGGTGAAGGGGGAGAAGGGCATAGAAGGAATGGAAATAAAGCACCCCAATCCCGCTCCCCTCGAAGTGTTAGGATAAATCTCTTGAGAGATTAAAAAATGCTACCACCCCAATACTCCAATCCAGCCTCCTTCGGCAAACCTCTTGGATCTGCCAATTAAATGGAGGCGTAGTCTTTGGAAAGGGCAGGGCTGGAAACCTGCTCTTTCACCCGAACCACTCCCCACCCAGGGCAGGTCTTCCTACCCCCACTTTACACGTGGGGAAACCAGGGCAAACTGGACAGCCTGAAAGCCCTCTAGGGGGAACGTGAAAGAAAATACCAACCCCCCTCCACTGAGCCCATGCCGACTCAAAACAACCCTGTAGGACAGGGTGGAACGGCCCCTGTAGGTTTCCAAGACTGTAACTCTTTTTCCCTGGGGTGTGGGGGAAAGATGGCGCTTTCTACTCCTGTCAAGAGATACAGTCTTGGGAGTTCACAGGGCAGTTCTAGCCTGCCGTATACATAGTCTAGGGTTGCCTGAGTCAACTGATTCAATGGCAGTGAGTTTGTTTTTTTCTCCCCTGCAGAGTAGCTGGTGGTTTTGAACTGCTGACTTTGTAGTCGGCAGCCCAACTCGTAAGCACTGCACCACCTGCACTTACTCATTCATCCTTTAACCAAGACCCCTCTCTCTACCCTAACCATGTCCTAGAACTTCTTAGTTCTCAACTTAAGTCACGACCTCTTTGGGGGTTGAACGACCCTTTCACAGGGGTCGCCCGATTCATCACAGTAGCAAAACTACAGTGATGAAGTAGCAACGAAAATAATTTTATGGTTGGGGGAGTCACCACAACACGAGGAACTGTATTAAAGGGTCGAGGCATGAGAACGGTTGAGAACCACGAAGCGGCTAATGTGGGCGCTGCAGTTCTCAGGATGGCCAGTAGATGGCGGAAAAGAGCGGCCGAGAGAGAGATTCTGTGGGGCTCCAGACTCCAGCCCCAGACCCTGGGGCATCCATCCTGCCTTGGCTTAGCACAGCGGTTCTCAACCTGGGGGTCGAACGACCCTTTCACAGGGGTCGCCCGATTCATCACAGTAGCAAAACGACAATGATGAAGTAGCCACGAAAATAATTTTATGGTTGGGTCGCCACCACATGAGGAACTGTATTACAGGGCCACTGCATTAGGAAAGTTGAGAAGCACTGACTAAGCAGATGCTGGGTTAGCTAGAGATGTGAGACATTGGTGCCCAATTCTGAAAGATCATTTTAGTCCTTATGATCCTTACAGTTGGATTTTCCCCCCTCCCTAACAGCAGGACTTCTGTGCAGACACTGAAGTTATGCTCACCCCCCTCTCAACCCCGCCTCCACACCCCCACCCCCACCCTCCACTCCTCCCAGACCTGATCTTTCATCTCCAGCTGCATCTTCCTCTTGTCCACACAGTGGGTGACTGCTTGGAGCAGAGGTTTTCCAAGTTCTTGCTGCCCAGCTCGGCAAATGCGTGGGACACGAGGCCCCGCACAGACTGGCTCTGAGTCCTAGTGCTCTCACCCTCAGGCTGGTTGACCCTGGAGTCCCTCCTCGACACCATCACAGCTTTTAATGGGTGTGCTGGTATATGTGCATTTTTCTGGAGACAAGTCTTTGGTTTCCAACAAAGAATCTCTAAGGATCAACGCTGTGACATAAAAGGTGAAGAGGTGCTTTTTCTTGAGCCAGGTGCTGGCTTTCTTAGCTGGATGTTAATCCCGTGTGCTCTGCTGGTCACATGAAAACATGCGTGGCAGTCACACAAGCTGGTGTCAGTTTGGGGCTTGAGGACTAAGCGTGAAGGGGTGGAGTCTAGTCCGTTCATCGGGTCATAGCCAATGAGGCCTCTGTGTGGGCGTGGCCTTCTCCTAAGAATTCTGGGAAATCCTACATTTTCCTCCTTAGAGGCAGGAGGCAGTCTCTCTTTTGACTGACTCCCTGGGAGACATTGCAGCTGACAAGACACATGGAACTATGCTAGTGCTCTGAAGCTGGAGAAGCCACATGGAGACCCCTGCCAGTGCTGAGATGCTTACAACGCCACTGGATGCAAAGACTTTCTACCCACTGGCCTGTGATTGTCCTGCGTTTGGCGTCATTGCATGTGTTTTGTGAGTCTGAAGAGGATTTTATAGATTGGTATCGGGCATATGGGCTCACATTGGACTTACGGACTTGATCTGGACTGGGCTGGGATGTTTTCTCAATATTCAACTGCTCTTGTATATAAACCTCTTTCTTATACACATATGAGTTTCCATGGATTTGTTTCTCCAGTCTACCCGGACTAACTCAACATGTAAGTTAAAAAAAAATTTTTTTTTTTTTAGAAATTCTATGTGGAGTGACGGAACAGTGCGACAAACAGTGCCAGTGGTGGCCCAGCCATCACACCCAATGCTGATGAATGAGAGGTGGAAAACATTCACAGAGTAACTTTTTATGTTACCTGTATGTACACTTCTTAAAAATTCCCCTGCCAACATTTTAAGGGACACATTTCCCTCATAGCACCCCCACTTAGCTGTCTAAACCTATTGACATGTTGGGTGTTTCTGTTTTTCTGCCTCCTCCCCCGCCACCCACCCAAAGCCCCTCAAGGCAGGGATTGTGCGTCTGTCTTTGTTCTCCAGCTTGATGAAGGGTTCTTCCTGAATCCCCCTCAACCTCCCCAGTTAGTACTTACTACAGATCAAGGCCACAGCCATCCGCAGCATCTTGAACTGGCACTTCATGCCCGACCAGTTCTAGGAAGAAAGGAGAGCGTCCATTAGGTCCAGAGCAGGCTCTTCCGGTGAGGAGGGATGCCACGGAAGAGAACCTGACATGTAAAGAAAGGGTCTCGAGGCTTCTTGAAGGAGGAGGAAGAGGTTGAATAGCAGAACCTGTCAGATCTCAGGCAATGGCAAAGGCCACTCAAGGAAACCAAATCACCAGGTCTGCTCCCTAGGTGCCTCTGACTGGGCCCTCCTGCAGCATTTCGGTTAGCTGGCGCGGTGGAAACCCTTTGTGCCGCTCGGGGACCCCAAGTGCCCTAGATGGGTTAACTCAAAGAGAGTCAGGGAGTCAGTACAGCTGTCCTGAAAGCGGTGAGCTGCACTCACAGGGGGCTGGATCTCGGGAGAGAACAGTGAGAGCCGCACTCACTGCCGGTCCCGGAGCTGGAACAGGAAGCCGGGTAGCACAGCGCACCCAGCGACACAGAAGCAGAACCAGGAGGGTGAAAGCGAGAACTCCAGACCCTGGGTCTGAGCAGCTGGTGAGCGAAGCAGGAACCTTCAGGCCACGGAGAAGACACGGGGACCAGGGGCCTCAGGGTCAAGTGCCAGTTGGACCACGCTAAGAAAGAGACTGACGCAGGCCAGACAACAACCATGCAGAAGACTCCAGGGATGGACTCTTCAGGGAAACGTTTCAGCTCACGATCAGTTTCCCTTTCCAATATGCAGGGCTGCTTGGGGATGGAGCTGTCCGTCTGGGGACGGTGGGGCTTGAACAGGGCCTTCCAGGCACTGGAAGAGGGGGTGGGCCAGATGGCCTTCAAACAAATCCCTCTCTCCCCCGAGAACCTCTGAAAACCCCAACCTCCAAAGCAGATAATCAGAGTACAATTATTCGTCCTACAAAAGGAATTTTCACCTAACAAAAGACTTCTTTGAGGGGCACTCCTGCGGTGCATTCAAAATGCTATTCCATTGACACAGCCCACCCAGCCCCACAGGGAAAAGAAAGGAGCCTGGGAGCTTAGGGAACACATCAGCTGGGGGAAGGAGGCAAGAGGGTCCCTCCCACCCACCCAATCTGCCTTAGCTGCCTGGCCCTGGCCCAGCTGGGAGGGGTCGTGTCTCACACCCCTTTGAGGCTGGGGGAACGGCATGGCCAACTTTACAGAGGCCCGAACACTGGCACATGCGATAACGTCTATGAAAGCGTCACTCAAGCAAGCGAGATACAGGGAAGCTGTCCAAACAAGGGGAGAAAGCCTTGCGGCATTCGGCGTCTGGCCCATTCTCTCCTTTCCCTCAATGACCAGCAACCACGTCTTCACAGAGGCGGGACGGGCGACACACGGCCCCGCTTTAGAAGGGGAGTCTAATCTTCGCTCTCAGTGACACGCTCTATACCAGGGAGCAGATGGCAGGACGGCGCTGTCATCTGCTGGTGCCTATCCACAGAGGAGCTCCGCCAGGAGACAGAGAACAAAACGTAAGTTGCTGCCTTCCACTAGATTTAACCTCCTAATCCCAGCTAATGAGCTAATGGGTGGGGAGGGCTCTCAGCTCCCCTCCAGGCTGAAGCTTTGGGGTGGAAGGGTCCTTGGTGCACCACCCCATCCCCCGGAGAAACATCATCTGCTGGTAAGTGATGGAGAAGATGATCTTTCAGCCGCCCTCTGAACACTGCCGGTGGCGGCAGAAGTGTGAAGAGGAGTCCGAAGCGTCTGCAGCAGTACGTTGACAGAGAGGTACCAGAGTCACGCCTGGTGCAGAAGAGGATGGGGAACAAGGGACATCGTTGCTGATGTCCGAAAGCACAGAATACAGAAAGATGTTCATCATGTCTTGTTGACTGCGCGAAGGCACTAGACGGGGTGGATCGTCATACATTATAGACAATATTGTGAGGAACGGGGATTCCAGAACATTTCATTGTGCTCACGCAGAATCTGTACACAGATCAAGAGGCAGCTGTTTCGACAGAACCAGAGGATGCGCCACGGTCCAAAATGAAGAAAAGCGAGTGTCAGGGTTGCCTCCTGTCACCGTACTTGTTCCATCTGTATGCCGAGCAAATGCTACCTGACGCTGGACTCCGTGAAGAAGAGCGTGGCTTCAGGACAGGAAGAAGATGACTCGTGGGAATAAACCTTGTACTTGAAGCACGCTGCCCGGCGACCTTCTTAGAGACAGCATTACCCCTGTTCCCTCTGGTCTCCAGCAGCGCAGGGATGGGCATTCCTTTTCTTCCAGTGTTCTCCACGCGAGACAACTGTAGCACCAAGGTCATTTACTAACCTCGAGAGTTAACACTTAGGAGTGAAGCATCAAGAACCCTGCCTGGCACACGGTTAGCACCAGGAAAACGCCTGCTCTCAGTCCCCACACCCGAGGCTGCGCACGGGCAGGCCGGAGACCGCAGACGGTTAGTTTGCCCTGCAGAGTGGCTTAAAAAGAAAAAAAAGGCCAATCTGAATGACCTTGGCAAGCAGGGGCGCTCCAGGTCTGCCCCAGGCCTGCGTGCGGCATCCTCCTTCGTTGGTCATACCTGCGGCCTCTGATCCCGACATTGGAGAAGAAACAGAGGGCAAGTCCAAGGTCACAGCAAGTGAACAGCTGAGCTGAGATGGGGCTTGCACGCCCAGACTCTGTCTACCCACCCGCAGGTCGAAGACAAGGGCACATTCTCTGGTAGCACCCGCTGTCCGATCGAGTTGCTCGCGTGCTAAACACATGTCAGAAAATGACCAGCCTTTCAGCAGCTGAACGGTTAACTAGAAAGTGCCCCTTCCCACCAGCTGCTTCATGCCCCCCACCCTATGGCTCCCTCCAATACAACAAGTGCAGGGACAACACAGGAGAAGAAATCTCACCCTCAGCCTGCCAGCGTCCGCAGCCGCTGCTATAAATGTTCGAAAGCCTGCCAGCCCCTGGGGAATATAAACCTTTGGCAGGCCCTTTAGCTTTCTTCTCTCCCAGAAAAATCTCAGGGGGAGATAGTAACTCCTTGCCCACAGCAAACAAGTCCCCTAACCAGCCCCCTAGGCGTCCTGCTCGCCCAACCAGTCAAAGCTCCGCATCTGACACCCAGGCAGGGAGCTTCCGCTCCAATGGGGCAGGCATTCTGTCCCCTTAGAAACAGTGACTTGTTCCAGGACTCCAGGAAAACCCAATACAGGGGGAGCGAAAGCAGACACCGATACGTCAGGGAGCGATTATTTGTCCTACAAAGGATTTCCCCCTTCACAAAGCGAAGCTTTTCACTTCGAAACCGTTCCTGTCTTTTCAGACAAGCATCTCTTCCAGGGCCTGGCCATCTGGCTCAATCTGCAAAAAATTCAGACCTCCAGCAAGGGAGGAAAACATTTAGCACACAGAACAGAGCATAACCGCTTACTTTCAAAAGGAACAGGCAAATAAATAAAAGGCACTCCAGCCTATGGGCCAAAGGAAAAGGCCAAAATCATTACATTATTCGACTCTGGTGGTGTAGTGGTTACGAGTTGGCCTGCAAACTGCCAGGTCAGTAGTTCAAAACTGCCAGCCAGTTTTGAGGGAGAAAGATGGGGATGTCGGCACCAGTAACGCAGGGGCAGTTCTACCCTGTTCCGCAGGCTGGCTGTGGGCTGGAATCGACTCGACACCGTGTGTGGGTTTTTTCTGTTTTTTTAGTTTTTATCTTTCTAGTTTGTTAAAGTATGAGCTATTGATTGTAGGTCTTTCATGCACTCCAGATGTGCTGTTAAATTGTTTCCAACTGCAGTTTCTCGTGGACTGCAAGTTTTTTGAGACTCAGAGCTTTTTTTTTTTTTTAACATTTTATTAGGGGCTCATACAACTGTTATCCCAATCCATACACACATCAATTGTGTAAAGCGCATTTGTACATCGTTTCTCAAAACATTTTCTCTCCATTTAAACCCCCGACATTAGGTCCTCATTTTTCCCCTCCCTCCCCGCTCCCCCTTCCCGCATGAGCCTTTGATAGTTTATAAATGGGTATTTTGTCATATCTTGCCCTGTCCGACGTCTCCCTTCACCCACTTTTCGGTTGTCTGTCCCCCAGGGAGGAAGTCACATATAGTTCCTTGTAATCGGTTCCCTCTTTCCTACGCACTCTCCCTTTACCCTCCCTGTTTCGCCACTCACACCACTGGTCCTGTAGGGCTCATCCGCCCTGGATTCCCTGGATTTTCAGTTCCTATCTGTACCAGTGTACATCCTCTGGTCCAGCCAGACTTGCAAGGTCGAATTCGAGTCATGGTAGTGGGAGCGGGGAGGAAGCATTTAGGAACTCAGAGCTTTTTTATGAAAAGATATGACATTTTGGATCTCTGATCGAATGAGCCTTAGAGAAGAAGCACACAAGAATGGTCTACTGTGTATCTGTAACAAATAGAATGTTTTTCTGATTGCGCGCTATGAGGATTTAAAAACGTCAAATATGAGATGTGTACATATGTGTATACACACACACACACACACACACACACACACACACACAAATGCTAAAGGAGCTCCCAGCTGTGGGGTGATCGCTATCGGGCAAGCATTTTCACACCCACTTTTCCAGCATCTTCCCCACAACAGCCTTGTGAAGAAGGGGCTACATCTGAGAGCAATGAGACCCGGCGGAGTTAAGGACCTCCCTCCGGGTCACCTGGCTAACCAGAGGTAGGAAAGGTACTCCAGCCCCAATGGTCTGATGATTTCCAAGGCCACGACTTCTCTGACTTCTGATCTGGGGGTGGTGTGGGGTGAGGTGGGGTAGGGTGGTGTGTGTGTGTGTGTGTGTGTGTGTGTGTGTTTCATTGGGCATCCCACAGAGACCACATCTTACTTTGGAAATAATGACAGAAGTCAATGAGGGCGAACCACATGGAATTGCCAATGTTTACTTGAGCTGCTTCGGAAACGCAGAAACAGCAATTCCACGTGGTTGGACGCAATGGCTCCTGAAACGGCTGAGCGAAGAGCTCGTGTGGTTGAAGGACAAAAGGACACCGACCTTTCTGGTAAGAAAAAGAGCTCTCCTTCCTCCCCAAACAAGCACCAGACAGCTTTCTCCCCAAGGAGCACTACTCTCCTCTGCTCCGCGGGTGGCCATGCCTCAGTTTGACCAGGAAAGCCCTTTTCCCTCCGGAGGGGCTCCTGGGCTGTCGGAGGGTGACACGCCTCTCCACAGATGCCGGCCACTTGCCAGGAAGACACAGCGGCTGGAACACAAGTGCTTTCACACCCCTTCCCACACGCACTCCATGCTTCCCACCCCTCACTCCTGGGGTGGTCGGCCCTCACCAGGGAGGCTCCTGGCGTATCAGGGCTGTTTCCATGAGGCGGGTAAGGGAGTGGGAACAGGGCAGCGTGTCTGCCAACTCCTATTTGTTTCTTCTTTTCCCGGTGCTTGTTTGCCTCCATGTCTCCTTTCCCATACTCCCCACCCCTGCCCCCCACCCCATGCGCGCGCACATACACACACACACACACACACACACACACAGGTGTGGAGGGGGAGAGGCAAGAGAAGGGAGGTTAGCATCTCCTTCCCCAACTGGAATGGAATCGGGGCAGGGGGAGGGGGCGAGGGGGAGGCAGAAGCCGGAGGAGAACTGTATCTGGGAAGGATGTGGCGCCTCAGCGAATGACCCATTTAAAAGGGGCCCACGTGAGGGGTCCCCGTGTTCCTGGTTTCCAGCAGACTGAGCGGTGTGTGCACATGCCCAAGCAGACAGCCCACGTTCACACTCGCTCCCCAAGTACTCACTGGCAGTTGTGTCTCTCCCCCAACCCCTCCTGCCCATGCACGCCCTCTCTCTCTCTCTGGTCAAAGCAGATGCCCGTGAAGAGAAAGGGCTGGCAGAGCTGGGCAGGTGAGAGTGGGGACAGCCAAGAAGAAGAAGGTCAAGGGAGGATGCAGAAACGCCCCAAACTGCCCTTTCTGAACGTCCTCCTTGTCTCCACTGACACGGAGTGGGCACCGCCTACCTCGTGCCCAGTCCTGGGTGGGAGAGACGTCAGCCCTGGGTCTTGTGGGCCCTGCCAGGCCAGTGAGGGCATTGAGTGAGATTAGCCAGGCACCTCCCGGCATGCCTCCTCCAGCCTCCAAACTTCAGCTTTCCTTCCCCACGAGGACTCTGGTCTCCTCGAAGGCTATGGGCTCACTGTCCCTATTTCGATTGAAGCCCACCCTGGCTCCCGCTGGGAGAAGTACACTGTCGCTTAAGTTCACATCTATACTGATCGGTGGCTTTGCGCTTTATCTAATTTATCATTTTGTGTCACAGATGGAGAAACTGAGGCACAAGGACGTGAAGTAATTTGCCACTTCCCTTTAGGAAGTGAGGTGACTGGGAGTCCACTCCAGGCTGAACGGCTCCGTAGTCCATATTCTCACAGAACAAAGGCCAAGAAAGGGTGAGGAATGGCCTGGCAGGAGCTTTGGCAGCAGCCCTTGAACCATTGTCAGAAGATCCGGTTTTGCCACACACTTGATTACGACTTTGGGCAAATCACTTCAGCTCTCAGAGCCTCCTTCTGTATTTGAGAACGTAAGTGAGACCAGCTCTAAGATCCCTTTACTTTTAATAAACTATAAGAAGCCATGATTTAAAAAATAAAAAATTTTAAAAAAAGAAGCCATGATTTATCATTGTCATACACTCTCTCAAAAAACTCACTGACATCCAATCAATGCCAACTCACCGCGACCCTGAAGGAGAAGGTGGGATTGCGCCTATGGGTTGCTGAGAATGTAACTTTTTAATGGGAGTAGAAAGCCTGGCCTTTCTCCTGCAGAACGTCTGGTGGTTTTGAACTGCTGACTCTGCGGTTAGCAGTCCAATGAGTAACCACTATGCCACCAGGGTTCCTGGTTAACAAGAACTCAAACACGTTTAAGCCACTGAATGGAAATGAAGTAGAATAAGGAGATGATTAGATAAGACGTGAATGGTGGGTGGAAGGGACCCATCTGAAATGGGCCTGCAGAGAGGGAGGGGGGTTGTCTTTGAACTCTGCGGCCAGCCAAGTCCGCCTGGCACATGACAGATCCTGGCTGGAGGGTGCACAGGTGAGGATCCACAGTCCAGCTCTGGAGGGTTAATGCCCAGCTCAGGCACACAGAGAGAGGACGAGAGCGACATGCTGGGACAGGGGAGCTCACCATCACGATGTTGGCCAGATGCGCAGAGACTAGTGCGTACACCCCTCCCGAGGAGCCAACGACTGGTGCCGTCATGTCAGCCACAGATACCGCCAAGGACCCTGGTATAAAAAGAATCAGACAGTTCCCAAAATGCTGGAGCCGCCTCCCCAACCCCAGCCCTCCTGTGCATCAGCACATACATGCACAATTGCTTTTACACCTTTCTCCTTGACCCCTGCTCCCTGCCCCGAAGTCCTTGGGGTGGTTGGTCACCCTGAGGTCAGATAGGGCTGAGGAGCCTTCAGGATAAGGCTCGAGAGTCAAGTTCTAGCTCTTTCCCCGTTTGAGTCCATGTCACCTTGGGACTCACAGTGGATCTCACAGAGGGGTAATTTTTTGGCTGGAAGAACCTTTGGATTCACGCTTCTCCTACTACAGATGGGACACAAGGAGGCAAAGAACGAGGACTAATCCACCACTTCTACTGCCAGCCACCCTCTGTCCGACAGTGCGCAAAGCCAAGGTTTGGAGCAATCGTGAAAGGAATCACAAGAGCAGCTCCTCGTGGTGCAGTGGCTCACGTGGACGTGGCTCACGTGGCTGGTTGCTGACAAAAATGCTGGAAGAAAGGGCTGGTGATTTACTTCTGGGGAAAAAAACCCAAACCAGCCGTTAAAACCCTGTGAACCACTGCCATGGAATCGATTCCAACTTACAGCCACTCTACACAGGACTTTTGAGACTGTCAATCTTTACCGGGGCAGACAGCCTCATCTTTCTCCTAAGGAGTGGTTGCGTGGGTTTGAACCACTGCTTTTGTGGTTAGTCGCCCAAGGTAAAAGCCTGTAAGAGTACAGTTATCATCTGACATACATGCGTCAGGCTCCACTGGGTGGCAACTGGGTAAGTTCTTGCAGAGACAACTGGCCACGGTGAGTCAGCAAACAGGGCCGTGCATTTTACATACATGTTTGCCTTTCGTTCCCAAGACAATTATTTGAAGCAGATGCTAGTCGTCTCATTTCAGAGATGAGAAAACCGAGCCTGGTGGGAAACCTTGGGACCAGGGTTTGACGTGACATCTGTTGCTCTGGGCCTCTATCATGACTTTTCTCCAAGCTGGTAGAGAGGCAGGGCTTCAGACTAGTTCTTCCTGGCTCAGCGATGGCTAATTAGCGAAGACGGAATGGACCCAAATTTGTAAAATGCGGTGTAGCAGGATCATAACAGGAAAAGGAAGACTTCGGGGTGAATATCCTGCTAGAACCGAAATCTCCCTCTTACAACACAAGGGCACTGTGCATGTTGCATAGCAACCGGCTCCCTCGAAGGACAGAGCTGGAAGCAACAAGGTCTGGCTCAAAGATGGCATCGCTTTCAGTGGCTGAAGCAAGAATCCAATCCATCAGGCTCCTGAAAGGGGTCACCACACCTCTTCCAAGTCTCCCATTTCAGGGCTTCCATCCTTAACTTTTCCTCGTTCTGGGTATACGCCCATTCTGGTACACTCACATTTTTACAAATTCACCTCGATCTGATTTCACATCGATCCACGACTGGCCTGATTCAAACTTGCTTGAAGCGTGTACAGTGGTTCTCAACCTTCCTCATGCCGAGACCCTTTAATACAGTCCCTCATGTTGTGGTGACCCTCAAACATAAAATTATTTCCATTGCTACTTCATCACTGTCATTTTGCTACTGTTATGAATCGTCATGTCAATAGCTGATATGCCGGATGTATTGTCATTGTTACGAATTGGACATAATTAAAGCATAGTGATGAATCACAAAAACAATATGTAATTATATATTGTGAAATACTTATTTCTAATGAAAAATCAATGAAATATTGTCTTGAAGCATGGTATAGCATGGGTAACAGTGTTCATGCTGGGTACCATAGGTGGGTGTATCTGCATGTGGGTGGACCTGCCTGGAGACGGATAGAGGAGCGGCGTCTCAATTCCTAAGACCAACCGAAATAGGTGTTTTCCGATGGTCTTAGGTGACCCCTGTGAAAGGGTCATTCGACCCCCAAGGGGTCATGGACCCACCCGTTGAGAACCGCTGCCTGATAGAGATTAACCTCCACCTTCTATAGGGAATGAGGACACAGATTTCGGCCAGCCAGAGCCACCTGGCACTCAACAGGTGTGTGTGTGTGTGTGTGTGTGTGTATGCTGGAAAGGACCTCGCTCAGGCACACACACTATCTAGAAATCAGCTTAGACAATACCAACTTTTCTCCAGCCGAGCCGAGTCACAAAAGGCCAACAGGATCTCCCCAGTGGAACTCCTTGGAAGGGAAAAAAAATGTCCTTGAGAGCCATCTGGGAGAGAGGCGGAGGGATGATGTCACCCCCTCTGGGGGAAGGTGGGTGGGTGACTCTCGGTCTGGGGATGGCAAGCGCTTGTCCTGGGAGGGACGCAGGGCAGAGAGGAGAGGGGGAATTTATTGTTCTGGTCTCATTTAAGTGTGATCAATGGTTTGGCTTCCAGGGAAGGACATGGAGACTAAAAATAACTGGGAGGTAGAGCCCAGGGCCAGGCGGACCGAGGAGGTGAATGTGCAGAAACCACGGCTGGAAACTGCCCGCAGGCTCAGGAGCCAATTAGCTCCTGCCTGGGTGGAGAGCAGGAGGGACAGGCTGAAGGCCAAATTCTGTAGGCTGTGTGGGGGTAGAGGAGCCACCACCTAGGAGGAAGCCAAGTGCACGCCAGGACGGACAGCCACCCGAGCCTAGAGAAGCCCTGTACCGAGACACCCTCTGCCTTCTCCCAGGCCACCTCCGCTGACTACCACCATCTTTTGACAGAAGAATCCCAGCGCACCTCTGGGCTCACCGGGAGTGGGGTGGGATGGGGTGGCTGTCATCTCTAGAAACAAAACAAAACAAACAAAACAAATCAAACTCCGGAGCCCTTCTCCCCTCCCAGAGCTGCTATGAATCTTTCTTCTCTTCTTTCATGCCTTTGGGGGCGGGGGGGG